CGTGGCGAGTCCCCGGGCTCTATGGTCCCCATGCTCGGCCCTGCATCTCCTTGCACCTCGGTGTGCCAGCATGGCTGTCCCGGAGCCTGGGCTTCTCCTCCTCCTCGCTGCCCCCTCCCGAAAGAGGGAAGACCTTTGTTGAGCCTTTACTTCACTCGGGGAGTAGCGGTTCCTTCTTGATCTCGCTGTAGGACGATATCCAGCCTCCTGGCAGGTTTTAGGCACAGCCTTTCTCGGGACTAACCCGTTCTTCTGCCCGTCCTGTTGCGTCCCCAAAGCACCGTGTAGTTTTGTAGCAGCTCCTGTGGATGCCGAGAGTCTCCTGCAGTCTCTAATCCATGTTTTCTCCTCTCCTCCCAGGAACTGGCTGCCTGGTGAAGGCGGTGGAGACGGCAGCCCAGCGCGAGGCGTTCATCGTGGGGAAGCCCAACCGGTACATGTTTGATTGCGTGGTGAGCGAGTTCAACATCGATCCCGCTCGTACCATCATGGTGGGAGATCGGCTGGACACAGACATCCTGATGGGCAACAGCTGCGGCCTCACCACCCTGCTGACCCTCACCGGGGTCACCACGCTGGAGGAAGTCAGGGGTCACCAGGAGAGCGACTGTCCCACCAGGCACAGCCTGGTTCCTGATTACTACGTCGACAGCATAGCTGATCTGCTCCCCGCCCTGGGGGATGAGTAGAGCTCAGGGCTTGCAGGCTCCGCAGCGGTACCCCCAGGAGAGCCCCCGTTACCCGCCTCGGGACAGTCACTAGGAGAGCACCCGCAGTTAGTGACCCTTTGCTGTTTAACCTTCCTGTCCTCTGATAGGATCCTGTTTACATCTCAGCCTTTAAATGCACTTTGGAAGGACGAGGACATTAACGGTGTCACCCACGTCTTGTAGGCTTGGGGCTTTTGTTTGGTTTTGTTTTTTTTAAATTATAAGCAACATATCTATCCAGATGTTTGTGATACTTGATGTCACGTTGTCCTCTAGACTGAGTTGAGGGAAGTAGAGCTGGTTGATCTGAGGAGAAGAACCCAAGGTCTTGTGGCGTGTCCTCACCTGGACGGGCCGTGGCTCCGTCCGGTTTATTCAGGGAAAGGTCTCGGAGTGTGGAGGGATGTAGCGGCGGTTTGGAAACGCAGTAGCTGGTGGAATTGGCTTTTGGCTGGTGTTTTTTCTCTGGCTGAGGTGCTGTTTAGCAGCACAGCCCCCTGCACGCACGTCAGGGCACAGAACCTGAAGTCCATCTCCTTGGTTGGGTGGTTGCAGACGGCACTGGCGCTGCAGATCAGGGCGATTCCACTGGCAGAACCCAAACCGTGTCCTCTGTACTGTGGTTGTGTGTGTAAAGTACAGGCAGGAACTACCCCCAACCCTAAATATATATCAGAATATATTTAAAATAGAAATTTAAGTAGAGTTTATGATAATATATCATTTCCCAGAAGGGAGGATAAGAGGAATGTACTTCACTGATCACAGTAGGTTTAATTCTCCTCAGCGTTTGGTGACGCAGAGAGTCTGTCACCACATAGGACTGTCCTGCTCTGCTGCTGCTCCCCAGGCTGGCGGGGTTGGTACCCAGTTAGTTCTGGTACCTCCCTCAGCATCCAAACAGCCTCTGGCTTTGGCTTCAGCTGAGGAATCTGGATTCAGGCTCAGTCTGGGGGGGTTAGATGCAGTACAGAGCACAGCTCCCCCCAGAACCAGCCTGTGTGTGACGGCGGCACGTGCTTCCTTCCCCTGGGGTCCATATCTTCTGCCTGTGCCCGGCGCGGGGCCTGGCACCAGCTGCTTGTCTGAGGAGCAGCTCCTGCCTCCTCGGGTGCTGACCCTGTCTGGTCTCTCAGTGGGTGGGGTGACGCCCGGCCCAGGCTCCGGGGTGGGTTTTTATGCTGGCTGAGCCGCAGCTGAAAGCTTCTCGCATCGCAGAGTGAAATGGAATGTGATATATGCAAATAACGCGCTTTTATGCCGCAGATTCCGCTCAGTTTAAGCCCTGTCCTTCCTTCACCTCCCGCCCTGCAGCTGCACAGCTCTGGCAGCGTGTCCCTGCCACCTCCTGACACTCGGAACCAGCAGAGTTGCCACCTTGTTTGTACAGCAATAACCATGCGGGTCGCGTCGTCTCTCGGTGTCACCGGGACACGAGCTGGGTCCTGGGAAGGGTTTTCATTCCCAGGGGTGTGTGAGGGAGCACGGACGAGCTCTTCCCTGTGCCCACCTCCAGCTGGGTCCTGGGAAGGGTTTTCATTCCCAGGGGTGTGTGAGGGAGCACGGACGAGCTCTTCCCTGTGCCCACCGCCAGCTGGGGGCTGTGACTGTTTCTAGTCACAGGTAGATACTTACAGGTAGAACTTTCACCTCCTTTGAGTGAGGTGGACATGGAGGTGGCGGGTTTGCTGCAGCTGGGCTCTGATTAAGGTGTGTCCTTCCCTTCAGTTCCTGTGTTTGGTGCTTAGAGTTTCACAACACGTGCAGGAAATGGCAGGAGGGGCGTCGGGCCCCCTCCCAGCACCGCACTGTCCCCGCTGGGCACTGCTCACTGTACAAGGGAACCATTACCTCGATTCACCTGTGCTGAAATGTCCTGGTGAAGGTGTCAATCGTGCTTCAAAAAACTCTGTATCAACTTCCAAATGGTTTTTAAACCTTTACTTGAATCCACATTAAACTTACGACCCTGCTTTCCCCAGGCCTTGGCTTCCTTTGTGGTCTCTTCTCCGCGAGCTTTGGTGCAGCCGCGGCGTGTGGAAGTTCTGGGGGTTGGGGGTGCAGCTGGTGTGTAGCATTTTTACTCCTTACATGTGGTATTGGGGAAAGAAATCCAAACTCTGGGGTGTTTTTCTTTGGTTCAGATGCCCAGAGCTGTGCAGGGCTCTTAGCGTGGGCTGGGGTTTCCCTCTTTGAGCAAGAGCACAGGGCAGAACGCTTCCCCCTTCGCAATAACCCTTCCACAATGGTTTATGGAGGGTTTGCTGCGTTCCTGTGCCCTGGATTACACAGGGCATGGATTTCTTAACGTAAGGAAGTTGCTGTGTGGCTGTTAAAGTCTCTGTGGGGAGAACGCCCCACCTGCCTGCTGCAGTTGGTTCTTCAGATGTTTTGTGCCAAGCTCCACGGCAGCAGAAGCCAGCGAGCAGGCAGCCCTGTGGGGAGAGCCCTGTGGGCTCTGCACGCCCCTTTGCAGAGGCAGAACCGGTGGTTTGGCGGTTTCAGCGCCGTCCCTGCGCTCGCCGGAGCCTCTCGCTGCTGGTGTTTGAAAGGAGTGGCTGTGCTGGTCGATTGACTCGCTGGCCACGGCGTTCAGTGTGTGTTTGGCCAGAGTTCACGTCCCACAGGAGCAGCGTACGAGAGGAGATGGAGATCTTCAACCAAACAGCTCATTCTGACTTACAGAAGGAAAGAGGGTGAGTGGGGAGAGGGACTGATTGTGCCTCGATGAGAAACAGAATCCCAGAATCACCTGGATTGGAAAAGCCCTTTAAGCTCACGGAGTCCAACCATGAACCCAACACTGACCAGTCCCCTGTGACTAACCCATGTCCCTCAGCACTGTGTCTACACGACTCTTCAATCCCTCCAGGGATGGGGACTCCACCACTGCCCTGGGCAACCCCTTCCAATGCCTCAGAACCCTTTCAGCAAAGAAATTCTTCCTCACATCCCATCTCAACTGCCCTGGCCACAACTGGAGCCCATTTCCTCTTGTCCTGTCCCTTGGTCCTTGGTTGAACAGACCCACCCCCACCTCTCTCCACCCTCCTCCAAGGGACTTGGACAGAGCCAGAAGGTTGAAAACTCCAGGATGAGCCAGTCTCTTGGCTGAGTTTAGTCAGTGCTGGGCCATGTTTGACAGGAACATGTCTAGAAACTGTATTTTCCCTCGATAGACCCCACGTGAAGGAATCCTCTTGAGCTTTCCCTGGTTTTTTCAGTTGGTTACATCTGGTTGGCAGGTCTCAGAAATACAGATCTCTCTTGGGGGCTCCTGGGCTGCTCAGGAAAACCTTGTTCTGTCGACCTGGGAACGCCGGGATGTTTCTCATCGCAGGACACGGGTGTTGGCACGAGCAGCTCGGGTTGTGCGATGACTTTGTGGCAGAGATCCTTTTCCCCGGGCTCTGGGTGAAGCGGGGTCTGTGGGTGGGACACAAGCGTGTCTGTGCAGCCCAGGCTCATGGGGCAGCCGTCTGGGGGATGAACAATTGACTGGAGCCCGGGGAGCTCCGGCAGCACAGAGTTCATGATGACATGTAGAAATAACCGATGACAGGGACAGGCTGCCGCTTTCCTCCCGTCACTGTGTCCTTCAGGAGCCTCACCCGCTCCCGCTGCCAGGGGCTGTCAGCAGGGAGGGCCCACACAAAGCCCCTGGTTGTTGTCCACCTGCCCCCTCCAGCCAGCTCCC